ATTTAACGTTATCTGGATCCAATCTAGCCACGTTTTTTGAAATGCGGGGAGAAAATTGTGCGTGGTCTTATGATCCTCCCACGAGTTTGTTTTGATGGCGTGGGCTTGCGTGTGTGGGCTTCGTGGGGGGTTTTATGCGGATAGCCGTGTGGGGGGGGGGGGGGAGCTATGTACGCATTCACACAAAAGACAATCCTATCTATCTGCATTTTCGGGTTCATAGATTTCGCTTAAAAAAAGGCTGCTAATCATACATTTTTGACATTGATAATGATACTGTCGCACAGCCATTCATATTAGCAATCAGCGTAAAACCCGTTGATTCTGCGGCCTCAAAAAATATTTTATTCTAAACATTAAAAAGGGCTTACTATACTGAAATCGTCGATCAACAGCAGTTTCCTGACTACTACATATTTTGTAGAGAGTCGTAGAATCATGACAAGATCAATATATATATATATATAATAGAATAATATATAAATATAATATATATATAAATATATATATACTATATATATATATATATATAATATATATATAATATATATATGTACATGTACAGTATATGAATCTTGTGTGATAGTATATGCGCATCACATGAATATATACATTCATCATATCTAAAACATATGCATACATATATGTATTCATATATGTATGTAAGTATGTAGGCATTAGTGCATGTATGTATGCAAAAATCAAATATATATACTATATATAATATATATATATATATATATATATATATATATATATATATATATATATATACATATGTAAATATATATATGTGTGTGTTTACATACATACACACACACACACACACACACACACACACACACACACACACACACACACCACATATATATATATATATATATATATATTATATATATATATATATATATATATATATATATATATATATATATATATCAATATGAACTTTAAAAAGTTATTCATCAGAGGAACCAAATGATTCGAATTAATCCATTTTGATTATTTGCTTCGTTGAAAATGTCACGCTAATTTTCAGTTCATAATTTTTAAAACATATATATATATATATATATATATATATAGATAGATAGATAGATAGATAGATAGATATAGATATAGATATAGATATAGATATAGATATAATATAGATATATAGATATAGATATAGAATATAATATAGAATATATATAGATAGGATATAGATATATATGTATGTATGTATATCTAATATATATATATTATCTATATCTATCTATCTATCTATATCTATCTATATTCTATATCTATCTATATACATATGTATATAATATATAATATATATATATATATATATATATATATATATATATATGTATATTATTACATATGTATGTATACAAGTAATATCTATAAACCCAGATAAACCACACCGGAGAGAGACCCTTGCAAGCCTCGCAAAAAATGCAGCAATATCGGCCCAGGAGGAAGCGCCCGCAAATTCCTCGCTGCAACTCGTTCCGCTGCCATTGCGAGCCGCAACGGCAATGCCGCGCTTTAAGGGCTGATCGTAACGCGGCCTCGAAGAGCCAGAGAATTTACGGATATATAGGGTTCAGGAGCATCGGGCGGGACTGGAGGCGCTGCGGTCGCCGCTGGTTCTCGCAGGACGGGCTCGCGAGGTCGCCCGCGTGTGCGCGTTTTGAGGGGAGGAGAGATATATATGTATATATGTGAGAGAGAGAGAGATACATACATACATATATACATTATACATATACATATACATATAAATATGTATATACAGCACACACACACACACACACACACACACACACACACACACACACACGCATATGTATATGGGGGGAATGAATGAGTGAGTGAGTGATTGTGTTTGCATGCATCTAACTGTGCGATTTTTTAGCAAATCGTTCATAGCTCATCCCACTCGCCCCAGGAGCTCCCTTCGCCTCCCGCCTCCGCGCCGACCCCGCCTCCGCGCCCTCAGCACAGGGGATAACGGCGCTGCAGTAATACGTCGTCAGGCGAACGAATTTGCGAAATAATTATATTCCTGGCGGACCATGTCAGCGCCGGAAACTTGCTGAAGAGCTCTGTATGAAACCTGCCTGTTAGCGAACTTTGTAAAGAGCAAAATTTAGAAGAGTAAAAAAAACATGATGAAACAAAGTCCGAAATGTTGATGCTCAGAGACCGCGGGGCCAAAGGCATTGTTTGAGCGACAAGCCAAACTCGCGGGAAAACTTGACACCGAACCCCTTTTGTGCCACGGAGATGGGTTTCTCGGGCTCGGTAATAAGCTTGAGCCACCGTGGATCTTAGGGAAATGCTTTATGTTTATTATTTTGGCGTGCAAGTGCATTTTGGTCACTTGTATTTTCGTATTTTCATGTTAGAGAAAGACAGAAAGAAAGAGAGAGACAGACAGACAGACAGACAGACAGAGAGAGAGAAATAGGCAGATAGACAGACAAAGAGACAAACAGACAGGTATATA